GCATGGAGGGTTTTCCTTCCCTGCTAGGTCTGTCCTGCTCAGATTTTAATACCATATTTTCCAGTGGATGAAGAGATTATAATATTTGTGTGGAACAGAAATCGTAGCGACTGAATAAGCTTAGCACGTAGAAATTGCATGCTATCACGTATGGTGCATTACTTCATAAGGGAATACATACGTTCACAAAAGAAGCCTAACAAGGAGAAGAGATAGAGTTTTAATGGAAAGATAGTAAATAATGTCTTTTATATTTATCTTGTAAGTCAGCAGGGAAACTCCTACTGCCTAGCTGTGGATCTGGAAAAAGTTAAAACCAATAAAGGTAAATCCTATTCAGTAATTCACTTGCTCTCCAGTGTCACTGCTTTGCTCGATGAACAGTATTTGCAAATGCAAACGCTTACAGTGCAGCACTCTTCAACAGATTTGTATATTAAAAAAAGAAAAAAAGACAAACCAGTTTGGAAAAAGATGCCGCTTTTTTTCAATCTTATTTTTCCTGCTCACCAGAACAAACGCTCTGCCCCAACTAAAATCCAATTTTCAAAACAGTACATTGCCTCTGCTTCACTTCGAAGCCAGACAGTAGACACTACAAGTTCTCCTTGGCGTCCTGAGCTCTGTATTTGCCTGCAGCGTAGACAGAAAGCCACTCCAGTGAGATCTGCTGTCCTTTTGACCACTTTTACAGTTGTGTATTTTTTTTATGGTCTCATAGCAGCCCCTTGGCATTCCAATGCACCTGTGTAAGCTTACTAACAAGGAAGCAGACATCTATCAATCCCTGCTTTTTCCAAAAATACGGTACTAGAAATAACACGTATTATACTCAGGGAGGTCCAAAAAAATAGTTTCTTATGCCCCTGAATAATAGAAATCCAGTGTACCTCTGTTCTTTGTTCGGACATATATCAGATACGAAACCGCGCTACTTGGAAAGAATAACTATTTTGAGTTGACTGCAGAAAGATTCTTTCATCATATCTAAATCATAAGACACAACAGAAGTCTCCCCAGTTAGGATATCTGGCAGATTTTGCCATTCAGCTACTATTCACAAAGATTTTTCATTCTCTAATATTGAAGAGCCATCAGGATGATCACTAAGAAATTCCAGGCAGATTCTCTTGTAAAATTGGATGTTGAACACTCTACCAGTTGACTCAGTTTAAAAAAAAAAAAAAAGTACAGCATCTTCTCAGCATTTTATCAGGTGCTGTAGCAATTGCCTCGGTCCAGGATCACCCATGAGAAAAAGAGACGGCTGTTAACAGCAGAGACAAAAAAAAGGAAAGAAAAGGTGACACCCGTTGTGCTGCCTGGCTCTGTGGAAAGCTGGGGATAGCATGTGCCATAAACCCCAAAAATGTCTTATCAAAAGCTTGTAGGGTAAAAGTCAGGGCAGCATTTCCCTGCTGCGCAGCACGACGCTAGCCACCTTGTTACCTGCCAACAGCAAATAAATACATTCTGTTCTGTGATATCATACACACACACACACACAGAGGTCTGATTGGCAAGTCCTTAGTGTCTTGAAAAAGACGACAAGAACACCTACCTCTCATTTCAGGCAGTACAAAGGCTCAGTTGAGCACTGGCGAAATCAGCGTGAACACAGTTCATGTTTCCACTGGTAGCTCTACAATCGTACAGGCTAGAAACTTGTGTTTCTAAAAGCCAGGGCAAAATTATCAGAGCACAGTGACACTCAGGGTTTTTACCTACTTTTGAGAATCCCTGCCCTTAGCATGTTTTTTGGCACTTACCTAAATGAACTGTACCATCTCAGTACAATGTTTGAAGTCCTTTATTGAGAGCTCAAACTTGTGCATATGGCTCAACAGACAAAAACATAATGTAACAGACAAAAGGGGGAGGGGGGGGAGAAAAAAGTGCATCTATACTTGAAGCAGCAATACGGCAGGTTGCTCGAGAGGGTGATGATGCAGCTCCTAGAGCAATGCCTGGTTTACCAAGATGACCTGTGAAAACTTTCAAAGGCTTAATATAAAACTGGATTATTATTATTCCCATAAATATTAAAGGAATTTTTTATTCCTCAGCAGCAGAGCCTCTGCTGGCTTCCGATAGAAAGCACATGGTTACAACGAAGGAATAATAATGCACTGCAGACGATCATTAAGACAGACAGGACACGACATGTTTCCAAGAGGAAGCTTTAGTTATTTTTCAGAGACCTGATAACATGTCAAAAGTAATAAACTAAATTGCCTGAAACAAATCACTCCTAATTTCATCTTTTTATATCATTATATTTGTTTCCCCACAATGTAACCTAATGTAGCCCATGAGACATAAATCTATACGGGACAAACTTGTATTAATTTTACACTTAGCAAATATATGAGGTATTCCGCAGGCTTTGCATCAGATCTAATATTTTTGCTTGGTATATAAAACCTAAAGCACAAGTCACGAATGCTGATTTTTACATACATTTTATCAGTTCCAAAGAGCTGCTTAAGAAAAATCCCAGTCATGCAAAACTTGTACTCTACTGCATCTTCCATGCAGTTGCGTATCTGCTACACTACGAATCCTAAGCTCATATCATGGACCAAAGGGGAACCACTCCCCTAAGCAGGATGCATTTCAGCCTACGGAAAGGATCAACTTGGAAGGGGGAACCCTAGCTCTTTCAAAGCCTGAAACCAGTTTTAAGCAACGGGGTGTATCGTTCATGCACTCAGGCCCCCACATCAGCATCCATACGCTGGGGAAAGTAAATGTCAAGGACAAGCAAACGATCTGGGGTGCTCAGAACCCCCACTTTCAGAAAGCAACCACTATACCGCACTGCAGGCTGCACCCATCGTTCCCAAGTTGCTGAAAATTTTGCCTCTGATTCGTAACTAGAAGCGGTCTTAATCTTTAGCTGCTCAAATTGAAAAAAAAAAAAAAAAAATCTAAAGTACCCACAATTAGCAGCATTTTGTTTTCATGATAGCCAAATGATTTCTCTTTTAAAAGGCTAAAACGATGCTGTGGGATTCTCCGGGGACTTCAGAGACCTTTTAGTTCCCACAAAGGCATTTATTTAATGATAACAAGCAGAACTCTGCCATCACTACCTTCCACATGTTGATATGCCTGTGCTTCTGTTCAGAAGGACCTCTGAGCTCGTAAAACTACCGCAAGCTTCAGGAGAGAGAAAAGTTGATTTGTTTTCTTGCTTAGCCACAACACATTTATACCCCATCTTTCAAAATACTTCTTGCTTAAAATGCAGATCAGAATAATCAAGTGCCATCAAAGTTTTAGTTGGACAGACTTTTTTTAGGTTGAAATATTCCCAAACTCCAGTTCACTAAATCAGCTTCAGGTGAGGCTTTGTTTCTCCATGACATTTCCTTGTCAGTAAAATCCCAGTGGAGAGAAAAGAAATACCAGGAAGAGCAGCAGAAAAAGATGACGAAGTAGATACACGCAGCCAATAGTGGAAAGCCTACAAAAGGCAAAACCAGTCAGAATTTTTCAGCTGAAAATCTTGTCAGAGAATACTTAATTTTTGCGTCCAATATAGTTTTGGCTTTTTAACTCAAAATCCAGGGAAGCAGAACAGCCAAAAAACCCAGTTGTCTCCACAAGCTTTTCAGAAGTAAAAAATTCACAGTTAAACCTCAATTCTGCCTTCCCGAAATCAGAAATTGAGTCTATTTTCCATATCCCAGACACAGTCCCTAATCTAAAGGTCTACCTTTCTCTTTCCACTCTTCTGTCAAAAATATTAAGTATAAATTTCATTCTAGTGGAAATAATTAGGAAACACTAACATTTTTATAAAAGACAGAATTCTTTTTCTTTAACCAACCTTTCTGAAGATTCTTCCAAATACCTTTGTGTTACCGTCCCTAACAGGTATTAGCTGGAATTACTCTATGTAACCATTGCTCTCCCATCAACCTACACTCTTCTGATGGATTTCAGAGACTACCGCGTTTGACAACAAACATTCTACAAAATTATTATCCATTATCAGTGATTTAAAAAAATAATCAGTCGGACAACTATTGCAAACAAAATATAGCAGGGTGTGCTTTGAAGCTTAGGTGTGGGTGCCATCAGCAGAAGCTCAAGAATTTTGTCAGCGGCATGTTTACAGATGCTTCCCAAAGCACAGTAAGCCCTTGCATACCTCTGTAACCATCTGGCTGGCAAGGAAGCGGCTGTTTAGAGATCAGATACCCGTTTAGCTTACTCAAAGTTACTTCGTGATATCATCTCTTAGAAATCAGACGCGACGCATCTATCAGCTTCATGATCAGCATCTAAAACAGACTTCCCAGTGACCGACAGCAAAATTAGCAATACCTCATCTGACCTCAGACAAAGTCTCTGGGGCAGAAAAAGATTTCAAGCATGATACTTACATGTGTCATTCATCATATTATTATTCCTACTACATTTTTAGCATATAGTCAATAAAATATTTTTAGCTAACTAGCTAAAAACAGGTTCTTTTGCCTTCTCTGCAATGACAAAACGTGGACCACCTGCCAGCGTAGATGTCATTTAATAGCAAGGAAGGATTAAACCCCCGTACAGAGACAGCAAGTAGAGTTCAAGAAAACTCCCTGCCCACAGCTACTTCCCACTACTGAATGGTGCAGCGTGCGTTACCTTGAAATAACCTGCGACCTGCTAGCGAAGCACCACAAACGCTTCACCTGCGCGCTCAGGAGTGTCACCGCAAACCAGAGAGGTAGAAGGACTGACACAGGTTGGCATTTGGTCAGTTGGCATGGGTAAAAAGTTAAGAGAATAGTACCCAGTTTCCCATTAGATGCTGATGTCACTTAAGGATAGCGTGAACACCAAACATGAGCTTGCTGATTTTTACTTCTTTCAATCATTCAGTGAACAAAAGAAGGTTTAATCAATTATTTTTTTCCCCCCTCTAAAAAGAGGCAAACCTTCATTAAATATGTACTCAAATCAATTATTCGTGCATTCCTCTTCAATCTGAAGTGAAATACCTTTTGCAACATGCTGGCCATTTAAATGTCAATTCTTCATGTCCCCTTCAGTTACTTACCTAAAAAAAAAGAAAACAATACATTAATTTTCCATGTTCTCAAATCTGTCATGAATACCTACCTTGCTCTCTACTGCTGCCCCGTAAGTTTTCAGTAGTTATAAATTAGGTAAGACTATTAGGGTCATGTGTTTTGGTTATATTATTACTTTAGATGACATGTTTCCACTTCTGATTCAGCTAAGCATTCAGTAATTGAATTTAAGATTTATTTTTTCTTATTATTGTGTTTTTCCTCCCCAGTAAATGATTTCTAAATAAAAGCTACTCGATGCCCTCAATAAATTGATTTCTACATTCTGTGTATTTACTCTGGGAAAAAAAGTCATAATTGCAGTCACAGTAATGGAAATATAAAACATTCAGCAAAAGTACCCCAACGTGGTCTTCAGTACCGAAATTTGTGCAGATATTTGTGCAACTTAACAGCTACTGGCAAAAAAAAAAAAAAACAAACCACACGTTTTGAGCAGCCAGGACACAGGACCGCAAACCACGAGACTCTAGCTGACAGACTAGTTCTATGAACTCAGGTACAGCTTTCCCAGCAGTCTCCATAGGATCCATACTTTAACCATTGAGTTTCTTCTCAGTTCTGTCATTAGTCTCTCATAGCTATGGAGATTAAGCAATGGTGTATATAACAGTAGGTACTGCTGCCTGTCTGAGAAACTCGTTACTAGTTACTAATGAGAAAGCAGAAAAAAGCTTGCTGTCAACAATGCTTGCCTCTTCCCTCATCCACCACTCAATAATTTCATCCTCCTTACTGCCCCCCCCTTTTCCTCCAAGCCATCAAAACCATTTCAGCAGTCAGTGCTCTTTTCTTGCTTTTACTACGCTTCATTTTAGAAAGGAATGGTTGTAGTCAAGGCTTTTCCCTTCCAAACTTCAAACTCTTAACAATAACGGTGTAAACATCCAGAATCAACCAAAATTTGGAATTCTTAAGTGATTAAGTTGAGGCTATCACAAGGGATTGGAATTGTACTTCATGTTTGTCCAAATGATAAAATAAATAAATCCATTCTGCAGTCCCGTCATTCTCTACGCTGTACAGAAACAGTTTTGGTTACTTACAACATTAACTACTATCCTAAAGCGCTTTTAGAAGTGATTGCACATTAAAGCACAGCTTCTGCGACAGAATAGACAGCTTTCAAAAAGCACTTGGCAACACTAGCAAGCAATATATAACAACAACGACAAAAATAGACTGACCAGCGCCCATTATTTACCAAGCAGGAGTCCCACTAGGCTCCTGCCTCCAATGAGTCAAAACCGTGAGCTGGTTTGCAAACTCATAAACCTGGGTTTGGTATGAGGGGGCTTGAATTTCTTCATTTTAGGTTTTTTTGTTTGCTTCCTTGCTTTATGAAGATCACATCTTTCAGGCTTTTCGCTTAAGGGAAAAGGACTAAAAAGGTATCTGAAAACCAAAACCTGCAACAGTCACGTAAGCACGTATTTCCAGGCAGAAGAGCTGTAATGCTTTTGTCAATTGTTAGGTGAAATCCCAGCAAAGCAAAGACCATTAGCACTACTAAATTCAAGTTTCATCTGGAAGACACTGGCGCGACAGTACATATATGCCCCCAAAACCATGAACAGAACCACACCCTCCAGCCAGGAGCAGCGAGAGTAGCATATGCACAAGCTCACAGCTCTCTTCCACAGAAACACAATTTTCTACGTCATTATACACTATATACACCTGTTTTCAACAAAACCTTTCCAAACCAGCCCTGAAAAAACAGGCAGGCACAAGTTCACAACCTCCTAGAGGTCCCATCCTCCCCTTCTCCCCCAGGAACACTTGCCCAGAGGCCAAGCGCCTGGATGGGAAAGGCCTCCAGCACAGCCTGGAACCGGCCCGTGGGTACCCAGCACGACTACGCAGGCAGAAGCATCTTGGCTCAAATCCGGGTGACGGCACCCGTTCTGCTCCGTAACCCATCCAAGGAGACCGGGCAACAACCACAGGTGTCAACATCTGCACATCTCAAATGAATCGCAGTGCCTATTTCTCCCATCCACACATCACCCATCCCTCTTCTATGATTGAATTGCACTTACTATTACTTCTTTTCTATACTGAAACTGAAAATAATTTTAAAAGTTTACAATACATCCTATAAGAGGTATGATTGTCTTAGATGATCCTTAAGCTACCCAAAATATATCCTTACAAGCACTGATTCTGAAAAGAGAAATATTTCATATTGCATCCATACTACCGCTTTTGACACACGCTGGCTTTTCAGATGTTGTCTTAACCAATACCACAAGTTGAAAATGACAAGAAACGCAGGTGAAACCCAGAACCACTAAATAGCTTTCATATTCAACCAAAACCTCATCTGAATTTCTTTAAATCATAACCCCATACTTTGCAGCATTACGCTTGCCCAAGCTTTCTGAAAAATTTCGGATAGAAATCTCACTTTTTCACATAACGCGCTCACACTGAACAGAGTGTACAGGCTCAACATTAATTCTGCCTGTGCTCAACTAACTCTATTTTAGACTGCATTTTAAATCACTGCCAAATTCAGACATCTACCACACAAGTTCTGCTGCTTCCACCTCCTGTCAGCCTACTCTGTGATGCCTCTGAATGAACGCTTTTTTTTTTTTCCTGGCAGAACTCATTATCATCCTCTTTCAAAGCAGAAAATTTTGATCCTCTAGTCCATATGCATGCATGCGTTTAGTCTTTTTCAAGAGAAATGTAACTGCCAGCTACAGTTCATACTTCTGCAGGGTATAAGCCCATCTCAGAATTTATAACACTATTGTGCTTAACGATAAGGTGTGCTTAGCTGGATTTAAAACGTACTACTATATACTTTTGTCCTTAAAAATGACGGCTCAATGTGTTATTGCCATCTGACTAGAACTATCTGATGTCTTTTCCTCCCCTTTAAGAGGAAGCAGAGTTCCCAAGGTTAGCAAGAAAACCAACTCGTCCTGTTTAGCACAGGCACTCTCACGGCTGGTTTTCCTGCGGTCCATTCCACAGGTGATGCTGAGCGATGACAAAAACTTGAGTGACGTTTTTTTTGCAGTGCCGCCTTCGCAGTTTAAAAAGTTGGGAGAGCCCCCATACAAAAAGTACACATTTAAACTTCAAGTACTACAGCTAAAGCCTATTTATGTGGAAAAATATCTTTGTCCTTTGCCATTTGGCAAGTGTTACACTGATGCAACTGCCTGGGGCTTATACCAGAAGAGCTGAAATCAAGACAAGCACCCCTTGTTGTGCATTAAGAGTAATCATCAAGAGCGCACGTACTTTGGCTGTCCTTTGCCCATTCTAGCTGCAGATCACAGGCATTCCACTCAAATGAGGTGTACATTTCTCTTTTATCAGTGAAAGAGAGTTATGTGAGAAACAATGATCGGACAGACCCCAAATGAGGTGAGTCATACGCAGATAATGAATCCCATAACCATTTCTTTCACGTAACGTCCCTCATTTTGCACCTTCGCAACCCAAGGCCTCTCGGACCGTACCGATTCAGGAACTGTTTAGCACAGATACAGGACATAAGCTGTTGGGCTTCAGTTGGCATCTCGACCGCGTCCTTCAGGGAACACCACGCCACGGCCAAGCTGAAGGCACACTGGCTTGAGGGCAGGCATTGCTCGCTGCTCCTAGATTCTTCTGTCTCAGCTATTACCAGGCTTTGCAACTGTCACTACTTCTAGCTGACAGCAATAGCTAAAGAGCTTGACTTGTCCAAGTAACCCAATTCTGCGCACTTAAGCACATGATTAAATAGGATATAGACATGGTTTGAACCCCTACTTGTTCAAGAACGCAGTTAAGCACATGCTTGACCAACAAAGCTGTGAAAACTTGTGCTGCGCATTACCCCACAGAAGAACTGCCTCTCAGGAACTCAGCCCGTGCCAAAGCCTGCGGTAGATCTCCACAGATCTGTTCCAAGAACACTTGAAAAGTCTTGAAGAGTACCTTCCTTCCCACCACCACTGCCTCCCCCCCAAAAAAGGAAGGAGAAAAAAAAAAAAAAAAAAATTTCTTTGGTCCTGGGTAGCATTCTGCATCTAAACCAGCCAAATCTAGATTTCATACTTAAATTAGGCTGTAGGCTCAAGGTTGGGGAGATTATGTTGAAGATCCTGCTCTGAATCGGCTAAAACAAGCATTTGAGCTTTATGATGCCAGCACACCATGCAAGAGCCCTTCCTGATCACTGAGCTCTGAGTTACTCTGGACAGGCATCTCGGTTCCTTCTGTGGAGCGGCTCCACTTTCTATAGTTAAATATTTATTGGGTTAGGGGAAGAGGATGCATCATGTGTGACATAAAGCAGTGAAGAAAGAGTAATTGAAGAGCCATTAAAAACTACATTACTGTTTCCTTAGACATTTGAAGCGAATCTAGCAGCGCTGGCAAAAGATGTTAAAATGACTAATCTGCAAGCTAGGCTCCACCGTTTGTGCGAGGAGCCGATTGTGTCTCTTCATACTCCCTCCTCCCCCTTTCTCCATAGCGTACCAGCGTATTACAAACAACAGGACTGTCAGAAATGCTACTGTACACAATAAGCACGGCTTTCTCCTTCTCCAATATTAATTTTTAAGAGAAATGTGATATCCACTGTAGAGAAAGAAATAATGACTGCATTAGGAGCAGGTATCATAATATTGCCTTTATCCTTGAGACTCTAAGCCACACCTGCCTCCAATTTTAGAGGAGGATAAAGATGCAACAGTTATTATGAATCAGGGAGGAAATCAGTATAACAGCTTAAACACTGGGCTTCTTGTGAAATAGGATTAGTGCTAATGGATGAAGCTGTCTCTTGTCTGTCTAACAATTAGAAGTGATCCTCCAAAAACTCCAACCGGAATTGTATTAACTAGCAATTACAGACAAAAATAGCTATGAGACTGAAATCATATTTTTCCTACTACTGCAGAGGACTTGAAATGACAATAGCTTAGTCCAAATCTGCCATCTGCTCTGTGAA